GTCTGTCATCTTCTGTAGTTTCAGGAAATCCACCGGTGTGAGAATCTGACTCCAATCATGCCTGAGTCTAGAAATAATAATTAAAAACAAATAATTTTCCCCTCTCCCCATTGTATTTCTCCTCTAATTTTTGCAAAGAAGCTTGATATTAACATAGAACTGACTTTATCGGAATGATAATTTCGTATCAAATTTCAAAAACTAGGAGGAATACTATAACATTTACAAGAGTTAAGAAAGTTCAAATGACAAGTTTGACTTATGATTGTTTTATTTGATCTGCCGTAATCAAGGCATTGACTGGCAATCTTAGCACTGTACTATGAAGGCCAAGATGGTGTGGCTTTCTGTTTTGTCCCAGTCTCCTTTAGCTTTATAGTGTTGGCTCGACCTTGTTTTCGCAACTTGGTCGGAGCGTCAGGGCGACCTAGTGGAACGTACCTAGTTCCGTGTCCTCTGTCATTCGACTCGTGATTTCCAGTATTGTACCATTGCTTTGGTATATTCCCAAACGTTCCGCCGACATTGTATTCGGCAGCTTCAGTGAGAAGCGCCATCATGAGTACCGAGTTACAACTGATCAAGGGGACAAGTGAAGGCAATTTCCCTGACCAATTTTCTGTTCAACCGCTGTAGCATCACTCTTCGCCCCTATTTTTGTTCTACATTCTAGTGCTGAGTTTCTTTCTCTTAACCCCACTTCATATGGCCAATCCAATTATTCACACAATTCTGTACTCTCGTTTCCTTCAATGTCGCCTAAGCGTGTGCCGTTACAATTGGGCTTAATGAAGCTTAATAATCTCCACTACCGGCACCAGATGCTGTTTACAGGGCTCCTGACTTTTATTCTGCTCCCCATTTTTTTTCATAACCGCCTGTTAATTTTTTTCTGCCAAGCCTCAAAATCACTGTTTAGCTGTCTGAAATCTACTTGCCTAAGAACCTTCAATTCCCATTCTCGATCAGGCCATATTCAATGATTTTAAGTAGATGATGCCCATCACATTCCAGTGCCTGGGAATCTTCCTCTCCTTTGGCTTCAAACAAGTCAAGAGACTCGTTAGCTTTAATTTTGTTCTAACGATGATACCTTGCTCTTATGAGGTTCATCATATGACACATGGTGGAGATGAAGGAGATGATAACTGAGATGATTACATTTCACTAACCCCAATTGTAGCGACACACGCTTAGGCGACATTGGAGGAAACGAGAGCACAGAATCGTGTGAATAAGTGGATTGACCATATGAAGTGGGGTTGAGAAAAAGAAATTTGGCACTAGAAGGTAGAACGAAAAATAAGGGTGAAGGGTGATGCTACAACGGTTGTACAGAAAATTGGTCAAGGGGATTGCCTTCACTTGTCACTTTGATCAGTTGTAACTCTGTGCTCACGATGGCGCCTCTCACTTAAGATGCTGAATATGATGCCGGCAGGACGTTTAGGAATATATCCAACCAAGAGTCAAAGGGCAGAGGACACGGAACTAGGTCTCCCTGACGCTCTAACTAAGTTGCGCAAACAACGCTTCATCTTAGAACTGCTTATGGTTATTGATAGACTTAAAGATGAAGAGGGTGTTGAGACGCCTGAAAAAAGGAGGTTGCTCAACTAGTCTCATTACGATCACACTTTCTATACGCTTTAGTTTACTCTCTTTGTCACACAGCCAAAAAGCTGATCAAAGTAACCAGACGTGTGTCCGATTGATGGTTGAACTAACCAAAAAATAGGATCATTAAATCTTGATGCCAAAACACAGATATTACGTTTTACTGTTATTTTATCCTATCACTGCCTATTCCGTACTTATACGCACACATAAATGCGCTTAAGCACATAAAA